GCACCACTGAAATATACTTTTGACGAAATGTTTGACGTGCTTACTTGATCGCGCAAAATGTTCTCGCTCAATTCTCATTGAGCTGGTAGCACCAGCACAGGGGATGCGAAGTTTTGCGATGTCAAATTAATGGGATCAAAGCAGTACATGCAGGTTCATTTCTTATTCACACTCAGAGGAATTCCTGCTGCATCATTATTACATTGAGGCAGATTAACTGCAACTTGCTTGTCATCAAAGCCGCCATTCTACAGTGCTACTACATTCAGGAACTGTGTCCTTGACATCACATGCGAGCCATATATAGGAAACACAGATTTACAGTTACAAGCATGATAAGGTGAGATTGAAGTGAGCTTGCTTGTGCTAAGAACCTAGATGCCATATATGCAGAATGTTGTCTGCACTTGTTTGCTTCACTCTGTGAGCTTGACATTGCATAATGCAGTTAACCTATAATTGCATATGTAGTTCAGTTTAACATTGAATGAAAAGTTTATTTTATTGCAGTTACTCTACAGCCACCTGCCACAAACCAGAGCATTAAGAGAACCAGGGGCCAAGGAGGAAGCCACACAGCTCTTGGCTTTGCATGCCAACAAGAAGTTGGTTAAGAAAAGGATAGAAGAAAAGACGGGGAAACTTGTCCTGCTCAAAGACTTGAGCAATGCGGCCTCTTCCCTCAGACCACAGACAAGGAATGACCTCATTAAGACTGCAGCTCTTCTGCAAAATGAGCATGGTAAGCACCTGATATTGTAGCACAAGTTTTTAAATAATTGCATCTGGGTTTTCCAGTGGGCTTCAGAGAAACTCGTATGTACAGTCGGCCAAATCTTTTACATTTAGACCATGAAATTTATTTCTACAGGTACAGACTACCACATCCTTGCTGATGGGGAAAACTTCCAAGGAATTTTGCTGTCCAATGAGTCTATGCGGTCAAATATGGATGCCTACCCAGAATTCCTAGGAATTGATGCCACCTACAAGCTTCTAGAAATACGAACACCAGTCTATGTGATGCACGTTGAAGACTCCAATGGAGACACAGAGACAGTATGTGTTGCAATTCTTGTGAATGAGTCTGCACCCACTATCAAATGGATGTTGGAAAAGTTCAAGGAACTGCACCCATCTTGGCCAAAAGTAAAGTGTGTCATGGCAGACAAGGACCTTTTGGAGCGTGACCTTCTCAAAGAAAGCTTCCCGCAGTCGAAGGTGCTCATCTGTGTGTTCCACACTTTAAAGACTTTTCGACGCGAGATTGCCTGCAACAAGATGAACATCACTGCAGAGGAAAGGGACCAAGCCCTGGCACTGCTCCAGAAGATGGTCCTGTCACGATCGAGTGAAAAATTTGAGGAGCTTCAACTGGAATTTGACAATAATGTTTGCCAAGAGATCCGCTCTTACTATGACAAAAACTGGCGTCCCATCAAGGATGAGTGGTACACTGGACCCAAGTTTATGTCTGAAAACTTTAACAACACTACCAACAACAGAATTGAAAGTCTGAACGCAAAACTGAAAAGTGTTATAAAAAAGAATAGCTCCCTTGAAGAGTTTGTGTGCTCACTTTTCACAGTATTGAACGCCTTGAGCGATGAACGTGACCACAGAGCATTGACAAGCATATCCAAAAGACCTTGCAAAGCACCTTCTAGCCCTGAAGAAGCTATGTATCAGGAATCATTGACTCCCTATGCCTTTAAGCTTGTAAGGGAGCAGATCTACCTGTCAGCCAAGCGAGTACCAAGTGACCAAAAAGCAGATGTGTTCACATTCGAGGCGTCGTCTGGCAACACGTCAACAACAAAAACTAACTGCAATTGTTCCTTTTGGAACGCTATGAGACTGCCATGCCGGCATGTGTTTGCAGTTAGGCGGACTCTGAACATTAGTCTCTTTGATGACAAACTTTTTCTAAAAAGGTGGTCCAAGGCATATTACTACTGTCATCAGAGAGCCTTCCTTTCTCAAGAGAAGTGCACAACTGAACATTCCATTTCGGAGCAGGCTGCAAAACCTCGGAGGCCAATGTCGCAGCATGAGAAATACAGGGAGGTATTTCCTACATGCAAGTACATAGCTCAACTTGCTGCAGAAGAAACAGGTGAAAGATACCAGGGCCGTCTAAAAGTTTTGTTGGCACTCTCTGAGGCATGGGAGCAAGGGCGCGAAATTGAAATCGTGGAAGTGTTGCGTCATGAAGCCTCATCCCCTTCATCACCAGAGCAAGTCAGACGCCAGCTGGAGCTGACTGTGTCCGTAGAAGAGAATGCAGAGTCACCCAAAGCTGCATCAGGTGAGGATTGGGACACGTCTGAAACTGCAGATCAGAATAATTCACATGATCAACCAGATCTGCCTCAAGCACCTTTAAGCCATACCGGGGCAGAACCACTTCATACCACTCCTGAGAAAGAGCAGCGTGCCCATAATGCAGGTGCATGCGAAACTCCTGATGAAGTGAGAAAGGCACAGCCACGCGAGAATACCTTGGCCCCTGCAAGCAGCGCCGGGCCTTCAGACTACATGCGCGAACGCCTCGGAAAGCTGAAAGTGCCCGCTAAGGTGAAGTCACGAGGTCGACCCAAAGGGGCGGAGAAAACCGTTATTGGGCTTCCACGACGGCGGCAGGGACCCCACAAATCAGCAGCAACACTGCAGCCATTTCGCGATCTGCCTCCTCAGGAAAAGGAGCTCAGGATCCTAAGTTGCTTAGTTCCTCAGGGCCTGCTAAGTGAGGTTCAGCAGGGGAAACTGCTACTCGGTGAGTTGTGAGATTTACCTTTATTTATGCTTAAATTTCCTATTTTGTTGCAACTTCAGTCGCTATCTAAGGTGTAGTACGAAGGTGTCTGATATCACCTATAGGGCTGCAACTACAGCTACATTCTGTAAGAATATTGAGTGTTCAATTCACAAAATAAACCTGAGCCCTAGAAATAAGTTCCCCTTGTTCAGATTCATAGCATTCTGTTGTACCTTAAAGCCATCTGATGGCAGGTTCAGAACACTTATTCAGTAATTTTTACAGGTGAGGACCAGGTGGAAACCATACCTTCCAGGATTCCAGAGACAATCCTCGACGAGGAAGTTCACCTTGACTGTGTCCAGAAATACTTCACTGAAGACGGCTGGACAGCTGTGCTGGCAACAGTCAAGGTGAAGAAGCAAACCATAAAGTGGAAATGCAACGAATGTCGGGACCTGTTAGAAGAGGACCCTTCTGTGATTTGTGACTTATGTTTGTGTTGGTTCCACCAAATCTGTACTTCACTGAGCAGCCGCAACAGGAATAGTTCCTGGTTTTGTGCGAAGTGTGTAGCAGCAGCCCAAATGTAAAGGAGCTGCTCCGTGAGTGGAACACAGCGATGGGAAACCTGCTGCAATTGCTCCTACGTGCTATATTTTGTTAAAGCTGGTCCATACATGCTACAAATGAGCAAAATTACTCCAACCTGCTACGTTTTGTGAAAGCTACTACATTAATGCTACAAATGAGCAGAATTGCTCCAAAGCTTCTACGCAAGCAGGGTTTGCTTCTACGCAAGCAGGGGAGCTCGCAAGCAGGGTTTGCTTAAGCACAACAAAAGATGGCTGAGTGTATGCCCCACTGGCATGCTTATAAAAAATGGAAGAAAGCTTAGTGCTGTTTCATGCGAGTGACATTTACATGTATTGTGTGTCTGTGTATTTGTTCCTATTATTCTTCATACAATTGTGATCCTTTGATTAAAGCTTGCATTAGTTGTGCCTTCAGTGAACACTGAATTCATTCATTGTATACATAGTTTGCATTGACGTCACCATGGCCGCCATCTTAGGGCCCCCAGCTACTTTGAGATGCTGGGTTAGCTCAAACGGTGACATAGGATTTGTGCCGGTGCCCTTCGCGTTCCTTTGATTCCCCACAGCGCGCCTTGCGAACAGAAGAAAGTGGGGACATCACAAAAGAACACGGGGACCGAACAACTGTGTGTCCTCCTCTGCAATGGTACTCTCTAATGACATAAAAAGTCACGGTTGCCGCCATCTCGGAGCACCCAGTGCAGAGAACCTGTCTGTGATGTCACGTGAAAACTATGTATAATAAGAGCATTAAAATGCTATCTGGCCTGTCTTTTTCGTTTTTGCAACCTGCTAAGGAGGAGATCATGAGAGCACCCAGGCGTAGGCGGCTAGCTAGTTAGTGATCTAACTTGGCTAACCAGATAAATAAATTCGTTTGGTTTGCTAAGAAATGCTTTGCATTTAAAATCTTACATCTTGTTTTTTTCCCTGCAGTAATTAGCTAACGACCCGCTCATCTGGAAACCTCGTGGACTCAAGCGCGCTGGTTAGTTTTTGGGAGCCGGTCGCAGTTACGGTTTCAAAGGTCAGCGAGTAGGTCGGCTCCCAGAATGGTTTTCGTGCAAACTCAGCTGGCTACATAGGCGCATATCACACAAAACCGCGTTCGCGAGAGTACCGCACAGAACTCTTTGCCCGAAAATTGCTCTGCCGAGGGAAGGACATCAGCCTCTGTACTTACGTGCGAGCCTCCCCCTTTCCGTTCAAAAGATCTGCTAGGAGAGAACGGCACCGCCGACATCGACGCCGTTCGTCAACCACGCGATGCTCTAAGTTTTCCATTGTCACCGGTAGTACTCGCTCCCTGTCAGTCTTTTACGTGAGCAGGCTCGCACGAAGGCTCGTTTCTTCGTATATATGCAAAAATTGGTACGCGGTAGCCGTGGACCCACCCGGCAACTCCCGGCGTACGTCCGACGTATCTTTTTTTTTTTTTTAGACTCAGTTTCGCGTACCCCCGACGTATCTTTAGACTCACGGTTTCGGGTACGTCGGACGTACCTTTAGCTTTTAGTAATCGGGTACGTCCGACGTATCTTTAGACTCACGGTTTCGGGTACGTCGGACGTACCTTTAGCTTTTGGTATTCGGGTACGTCCGACGTACCTTTAGACACACCGTTGTTTGCACCGTGGCACGTGCGTTTCATATGCATTACGTGCTGTTTCTCCGTTCTTTCCTTGCCATTTGCTGAAGCTTTGTTGACGGCCGTGATTACTTGAAGGGAACTACTGGACAACGTCCGAGAAAGTGATGTGTGCCTGTGTGACAGTTACTGAGTGATTTGTGAAAATGCCTGGGCACTGTTGTGTTCCCGGCTGCCGCGGGAATTACGACGGAGAAAAGACTGTGCGAGTCTTCACTTTCCCAGCTGATGCCGACAGAAGGAGGAGGTGGTTGAAAGCCATTCCGCGTGCCGACTTTGAACCCGGAAAGCGCTCAGTGGTAAGTCTAAAACGCGTGATATTTATTGCGCGACGTTTTTGTGGTGACGTATTGAACTATGCTAGTTTTAAGTTATGAATTTGCTGTTTCGCTCATGAAATTAACTGTCTTAATAACGCTAACATTATTTGGGTTTGGTTTTACAGGTCTGCGAGCGGCACTTTAGAGAGTCAGACATTCTGACTTCCTCTAAGTATGTGGACTCAAAAACCGGCAAAGTCGTCGAGGCAAAACTGAAGATCGCTCGACTCAGCTCCGACGCCGTTCCCAGTGTATTCCCGAACTGTCCAGCGTACCTTTCCGCGCCCGCCGCTACGTCGCGAGAGGCGCCCGCTGAGAAAAGGATGCGCCTTGAAGCAGCCTCTTTACGAGAAGCCATCGCCAATTCACTTGAGACACATGAGGAGGAGGAAACAAAGCACAAGTTTGACACCTTCCAGGCTCTACTGGAATGCCTTCCTCAAATGAAGCTTTCGAACTTTTGGAGTGTTATTTCTAGACCTGCGTGCATTCATTTTCTGAATCTTGCTCTTGAAGACGCCCCTCGTGTTTTGCTGTCAATAACGGTCTTAGAGGATCTCACGGTGAAAGTTCATTGCCAAGATGTGCAGCTTACTACGATTGATGGCATTGGTGCCATCCCTCACAAAGTGAACGACATTCGTTGTTTGACACGCCTGCTAGATTCTGTAGAGTCCTTACATGGAGAACTTTCCTGTAAGCATGAAGACAAAATTGAGGGTTTGCTCAAGTTGGCATTTTCTCTGCTTGAAGATGCCTCAAACTGTGAACTGGCAGATGTTGAACGACTCAATGCCATCCGTTTTTTGAAAGAGCAAGTTTCTCTTCTTCTCGTCAGGCATAGCAAGCAATCTCGGTATTCTCCAGAGTTCCTGGTACTTTCGAGCATTTTATTTACAATTTCTCCGCATGCCTATAGATTCTTGCGCAGTACCGGTAATGTTAGGCTGCCCCATCCATCCACTATACGTCGTGTGTGTAATTCATACAATGTAAGCCCAGAAGCTGAGCAGCAAGGCGCTTCTTTTCTTTCGTATGCAAAGAAGCTGGTCACTACTATGAAAGAACACGAAAAAATTGTTGTTCTCATGATGGATGAAATTCACCTGCAGCCTTATTTTGACTATAAGGGAGGAACGATTGTTGGTGCGGCTAGCAATAGCCCTAATGCAGCAAAAACAGCGCATGTTTTTATGATGCAAAGCCTACTTTCAAGTCAGAAGAATGTTGTGCACATACTGCCAGTAGAGCGCATCAATGCGGAGGAGCTGCACACTCTTCTGCGTAGTATCATTACTCAGTTGGAAAATGTTGGGTTGCGTATCATTGCTGTAATAACTGACAATAACTCAATCAACCGCAAAACAATGTCACTTTTTGGGGCACCGTGCAAACTTCAGAGTGTGTATCCACACCCTGCTGACCCTGACCGTCCTCTTTTTTTCCTGATTGATCCTGTGCACTTAATGAAGTGTGTGAGGAACAACTGGCTCAATCAGCGAAACTCTGGAACATGCATGTTCTTTCCTAGCGCCACAGAATCTAGCGTACAGCCACCCATACTTACAGCGTCATTTCGTACACTTCGAGAACTACACTTGAAAGAACAGGGTCAGCTCATCAAATCTGCACCGGCGCTTACGACAAAATCTCTCAATCCTTCGAATATGGAACGACAAAATGTTAAGCTCGCGCTAAAGATTTTCAACCCGTCTACAGCAGCAGCTCTTCGAGCGTGTGGGCCTAAACTTCAGCTCGAGCATGTGGCCGGCACAGCAGAGTTTTTAGAACTCATAACTAAGTGGTGGAGCATTGTTAATGTAAAAACATGCAACAAGGGCATTCGACTTCGGGATGAGCTGCAGTCACCGATTGCATCAGTGACAAGTCCACAGGTTCACTTTCTGCTGAATATAGTGGAGTGGCTAGATCTGTGGCAGTCCCTAAGATTTGACGCAGGTGTGCTCACAAGAGAGACTCACAGTGCCCTCCGTCTCACGACAGAAACCTTAGTAAAGGTTGCTGAGTATTGCCTGAATGAGCTGAACTTTGATTATGTGCTTTTAGGGAAGTTTCAGACGGACTCTTTGGAAGAGAGGTTCGGCAAATACCGCCAACTCTCCGGTGCTCAGTACCACATTTCCATCAGACAAGTGTATGAGTCTGAGCGAAAGCTTCGTCTGCAGAACGTTCTGGAGCTCCCAGAAATGGAGGCTGCAGCAGACTCGGTGGCAGTGAATAATGCTGTACTTGATGATTTTGAGATTGAAATAACGGATGAGGACTATGACGTGAAGGTGCCAAATCTCCCAGCAATCACATACGTTGCTGGCTACTGCGCCCATGCTGCATTCAAGAAGCTTTTGTGCATGGCTTGCAAAGAAAGTTTAATGCTGGATGACGACATTGAAGTTGAAGGCGGAGAGTTGATCAAGTCCATGACACGTGGTGGTCTCAAGTTTCCGCAGCCTGCCATAATAAATGCCGTTGTTACTGCGGAAATAGTTCTTGACAAACTGAGGAGCGAACAGCATGCACAGCAATTTCATGCGTTACCGAATCAAAAGGAGGCTCTCTTGGCACTCACTCATGATGCGATAAACAACAATGTTGACTTTGATGTGTGTGAAAATGGGCACAGTCCCCAGTTGGTAATGCATTATGTCCTAAGTGCAGCAGCAAACACGCTTTTGAATAACCTGTGCAAACGAAAAAATGATCAGTTGGTTGTTGAAAAGGCCGCAAGAGATAAAGAGCGAAAATTGAAGACATTGAAGAAGTGACTACTCTGCTTGTGGGTGTTGGCTTGTGACTGTTGTTCTTTTTTTATGCGAGAGTTTAGAAACTGATTTTTCATTGTATTTTCATATTCTGCATCTTTTCTTGTGTGTACTGAGAAATTTGTGGCAGCCTTCACGTATTGTATTTTCATATTCTGCATCTTTTCTTGTGTGTACTGAGAAATTTGTGGCAGCCTTCACGTATTTCATATGAGTTATTGTTGTAGCAGTTTGATAACCTTTTGCTGGCTGTTTCTTTTTCCTAAAATAAAACATGACTTGTCAAAATCGCGTGCGTGGTCCTTAAAAATTATTACGAACGTGTTTTCGTACACCTGCGCATCGATACAAAATCAGTAATGATATGCCTGAATGTTACTCGTTATACGATCAAGGAAACCAGAAGAAACATTCATTTAAACTCTGTGCAATTAAACCACGATTCTGCGACCGAGTAAAACGTTTATTGGAGCCGACTGAAAAAAAAAAAAAAAAACGTCACTGGCCCTTCCTCAGCTTCGAAAGCCTTCAGGCGCACGCGGAACTGCGTCGGAAAGCTGTGCGCACGCGCAAGCCGAACCTCCAGAGCCGTCGTAGTGCGGTGACGTCATGGAGCCGTGGAGGGGCCTTAAAAAATCTAGGTGGTGTTGGTTGACCCCAGTCGTTACGATAACATGAAGGTGGGTCCAGCATTCAGCCTTATCAACAGTGACACTGCTGCTGCAGTAGGCTCGCTTGTAGATAATGGAACATTAGATAAACCAGCCTTGACAACTACATGGTTTCTTGAGATGATGTTTCGATGGTTGACTCATGACTTCCAGAACAACAGAACTGGCTTTGAGCCATTTTGATGATATTGAGTATGGAAAGGCCCTTCAGTTTCTTGTAGAAACAATTGCACTTTTTGAAAAAATATGTATAGGGGATGGAAAAAAAGCCACCTGGAAACCAGTACAGACTGGCATTATCCTAGCGACATCAGTGTTGCAACTGCAGGCACTGTTTCTTGAAAAGTACAACTTCAAGTTTCTGCTCCTGAGCAGGTTCGGCCAAGATGCCCTAGAGAATTTTTTCTCTACACTAAGGTGTAAGAACCCGGTGCCTCGTGTACTTGTATTCAAGTTTTCGCTTCGAGCTGCTACGATGGCCCAGTTTCTGAGGCGCAGTAAGAACGGCAGCTACACTGAAGAAGACTGCTTTCTCTTGACTGACATGGCCGATGACAACAAACCAAATCAAAGCAAAGTGTACGTTGTTCGTCTGTCTGACCTCCTTGATATTCAATACTTAGAACATTAATCCTTGGAGTACCTTGCTGGTTATGTTGTTGCACAAAAGTCAAAAAGGCAAACTCCTGTCAAGCTTGTGTTGAAGCGATCACAAGCTCAGCCAAGGGCAACAAGCTCACAATGCTGAAGTGCTACAACAAAGAGAAGCCGGCATTGACAGTCCCATCACCAGCTGTTTTGCAGTTAATAGAGGCTGCTGAAAATTATGTGCGCTTAAATGAAGATGCATTGATTGCAAACAGAGTTTCTGCATCTAAACTTCAGAGTACCATTCAAAGTTCCCTGTACTTGGGCAATCGCTTCCTGTCATGAATCTGCTGCACGAACAACACATCGGAATCACAAAGATGAAAATGGTTGCAAGGTCAATGGTTTGGTGGCCAGGAATTGATGATGCATTAGAAGAAACCGTGCGAAAATGCAGCGTTTGTCAAAGCGTACAAACAGCAGCACAGCTAGCGCCTTTGAGCCCGTGGAAATTGTGCGAACACCCGTGGGAAAGGGTGCATCTTGATTTCGCCGAGAAGGAAGGTAAAATGTTCCTATTAGCAGTTGATGCTTACAGTAAGTGGATAGAAGTTAAAGTATGTAGCACGACGACTGCTACTATGACAGTGGCAGTGGTTCGGTCTTTGTTTGTCGCGCACAGACTTCCTTTAGAAGTAGTAACAGATAACGGGCCGCAATTTCAGGCTGATGAATTCCAAAGCTTTCTAAAACCGCAAGGTGTAAAGCACACGTTCACACCCCCGTACCACCCGCAGTCCAATGGGGCGGTGGAGCGGGCGGTACAAACAACTAAGACGGCCCTATTTAAACAGTTGTTGGAGGACAAGGAAAAAGGCAGTGCAAGAACACTTCAGCACAGAATAGATAACTTTCTGTTATGCTATCGCACAACGCCGCATACCTTCACTGGAAAGACACCGGCTGAACTGTTTTTGAGAAGCCAGTTGCGTACCAGGTTGTCTTTGGTGCGGCCGCATCTGACAAAGGTCATGACCGAGAAAGTAGAAAGGATGAAACAGTCAGTCGATAAGCGCAGAGCGAAGCCGCGATATTTTGGGGTTGGTGACCGTGTGTTGGTTCGTTCCGTGCGAGGAGAATCGGTGAAATGGCTGCCGAGAAAAGTTACGCGAGTGAAGTCTCCAACTACGTATTTGGTTGTTATTGGAAACCAAGTGCGTTTTGTACATGCTGATCATTTACGACATTCTGTGCTCGACGACCGAACCCCACGTCGTGAAATATGCCTGCCACACGCCTCCGAGGTCACCTCTCCTCCACTGCCTGTGGTGCAACCGGACCCTCAGGTGGAACAAAGGCCGCCGGACCCGGGGTTAACCGATAATAACAATGCAATTCCTCTGAGACGGAGCAACCGGGAAAAGCGACCTCCTGAGCGTTGGTGTTACGACCGTTTTTGATCTAGTGACGAAGGAAGTGTTGTGTTGTTATCTGTATTACGGCGCGTGAAAGGCATCGCCGATGAACAGTGTTAGTGACGTCGCCATGTTATCGTACATGCGCGAGTGGCTGGTGGGCGTATATATTCTGGCTCTTGTTCTGTCGCTGGGAGAACCGTTGCTTTGTGCTGCAAGCATGCAGTGCCGTAAATAAAGGTGTTCTGTAAGGCCTTGGTCTTTCTCTTCCGGCGGATGCGACACTTCCCTACATGCCACTGCATATTGGACAAACTCCTTGCCCCATTTTTAAGAACTAGAATCTCAATTCTCGTGAAAAAGAAAAACCATCTCCTTATGACAAAAACTCAAAGCTCACAGAAGTGTGGTAGCCGAAGCATTGGAATGCATGTTGCTGCAGGTAGCATACGGTAGTACTGGTAGAAAAGTTTATGTAAAATGTATGATGTTTCTTGTACTATTGTAAGTGTGGCTGTTCTTTGTTTTTGCATTTTAATAGTTACTTAAGCTACCCTTACAGTTCAGAGCCGTCTTCATGTCATGTCCTTTTGTTCACTTGGAAGCACATCCTAAGTGTATTTTGGCATCTCTCATAATCATACAGTGGTTTAGGGACGTTACACCCCATATACCTAAGTGTATTTTGTGCATTGCATGTGTAATTAA